AAAAAATGTGTTGCTTTCAAGAAGAGATTATGCTTTTTCCCCCCACAGGAAATGAAAGGCTATGGATTTATTAAAGGTTAATAGTGATCAGGTTTGATAGGTGAAGACCCCCCTGAAAATCCTAACTACAGACATAAAAAAAAATAAACCTAGAATAACTGCAAGACAGGTGATATATATTTTACCTGCAAATATAAATTAATCTTTGGTTGCCTTGTGCACAACCTATAGTCCATACTTCTGTTAATGCAGAAATGTATGTTACCTTTGAAAGTTTATGTGTTTTCATAGCAGGGGAACCAGATTCTGGAGAAAACAGGTGGCTCAGGTGATCCAGCCCCTCAGAGTGCCTCTGTTGCCATTTCCTTGGAGTTCTTCCATCCAGAACAGTCTCGAGGCTGCTGGCTGAGATGGTCCAGCCTTACAGAGTGTTCTAGTCAGGACCACAGATAAGCCTTACACTTTCCTATTGCACAGAGACTGGACAACAAATGTTATTGTTAGTTTTATTAGGACTTGATCATTATTTCAATTTTCTAGGTTCCTTAAATATGCCTTCATCCACAGACAACATGAGGCAGTCTAGAGAATACAGCACACACATTCTTAAGAGGTGGGAAGGTGAGTTTTGGTTATTTGGTGGGTTATGGGTGTTTGCCATCATTTAAAGTGAATGTAGGAATATAAGATAAAAAGACAACTATTAACCTTAAATATTTTGCATTGGTATGGACTTTGGTATATTGATATAAATTTAAAGTTGTTTTTTATTATATTGTATTATGTTTCTAATCTTGTTTAAGGTATTGTGCTTATGAAGCTCATTAAAATATAATATATAACTAAGAAATGTGGGCTAGTAGTTATTCATCTATGGTAGTCAAAGTTGTAGTCATATTAGGTATGTTTTCAAAGTTATGTAGATATATTTATATAGACAATCTTCAAACATTTCAAAGATCTAAAGAATAGGGCATCTAATATGTTTAATAACATGAGGTTTTTCATGACAGTGAGACACGTCTACTCCTAGCAGCACCAATATATTTCAGAGAAGATGATAGGCATGGAAGGATCTCTATATGGAATTGACTCTTACATTATGGCAATGTTAGTCACTGGACTGAGAAACTGTTCTTGCCTTGACTGCTGACAGTATGCTGTGCAAATGAAACAAGCAGGACACAAGGGAAAAAGACTGTTGAACTTTGTCAAAACAAAGAGGGACAGTACTTCAAAAATTTCTTCTTTACAGAAGAGTCTGTCTGATATTCTGGGCATGTAGGCCAAAAATTGATGCCCTGGCATTGCAGAAGATCCTTGGGCGATTGTCACAGCAGCCAGATGTCTCCATTGTTTTTAGTTTTGGAATTTGCTTGCAGTGCACTTTTGGTTTACTTAGGTAATACTATATCCTCTGGGGTATTTGATAAAGTTGAAGACTAGACTATTATAGTTTCCTTTATTTATAACAGAAGATAAATTAGGTACAAAACTTGGAACTCTCTAAGACAGGATAAATAATGGATTTCTTTGAATTTGCCAAATACAAATGGACCAAGCATTATGGATGTAATCCTTCCTTGTTATTGTTGTATATAACATAGCATTAGTATGTTAAAGTTAAAACCTTTCTTTTTACTTAGAGGAAAAGGGGAAATGTAGAATATTATTTTTAAAAACTTTTATTTAAAAGTTTGTTATCATATTACATACTAACCACAGTTCTCCTGCCCTCCTCTCCTCCTGCTGTCCCCACTTTCCCCCACCTAACACCCCATTCACTCCTCAGAAAGGGTAAGGCCTCCCATGGGGAGTCAATGCTGAGCAAGGTATTACTCCATAGGGAATGGGCTCCAAAAACCCAGTTCATGTACTGGGAATAAATCCTGGTCCCGCAGCCAGTGGTCTGCCCAAACCATTGAACTGTCACCCACATTCTGAGGGCCTAGTTAATTCCTATGCAAGTTCCTCAGCACACAGTCCAGAGTCAGTGAGCACCCACTAGCTTGGGTCACCTGTCTCTGTGGGTTTCCCTACCATAATCTTGATCTCTTGCTCATAAAATCCCTCCTCCCCCTCTTAAACTGGACTCGAGGGGCTCGCTCCAGTGCTTAGCTGTGGATCTCTGCATCTACTTCCATCAGTTACTGGATGAAGGTTCTATGGTGACAATTAGGGTGGTCATCAATCTGATTACAGGGGAAAGCCAGTTTATGCACCCTCTCCACTATTTCTAGGAGTTTTAGCTAGGGTCATTGACACAAAATTAATAAATTCTCAGAAACAGAAATTGGAGTTCAACATGAAGGTTGGAAAATCAAAACAGCCAGCCACTGGCTCTTACCTCTACCTCAGTTTGAAATGGCAATCCTAAACCAGGTGGTGGTGGCGCACGCCTTTAATCCCAGCACTCGAGAGGCAGAGGCAGGCGGATCTCTGTGAGTTCGAGGCCAGCCTGGTCTACAAGAGCTAGTTCCAGGACAGGAACCAAAAAGCTATGGAGAAACCCTGTCTCGAAAATAAAAAAAAAATGGCAATCCTGCCTCTCAGGATCTCAGAATGGGATTAAAGGTATATACTGCCAGGTTTTTAAGGCAACTAGTGTGGCTACTGGGATTAAAGGTGTGTGTTATCACTGGCTGGTCTGTAAGGCTGACCAGTGGGGCTTTTTTACTTATTAAATAAAAGGCAAGCTCTACTTATTAAAATATAAATGAAATGCCACTACAGTTCATCCTTGTCGATTCCTGGGAGCTTCCATAGCACCAAATTTGCCCCTAACTCTATAATGCCCCCCCTCTATCAAGATATCTCTTTCCTTGCTCTCCCTCTCAAAGGTTCCCCAACTCAAGCATCCCATTCCCTCATGCTCTCTTCTGCCCCCTTCACCTCTCCTTCTCCTACTCCATTTGCTCAGGAGATCTTATCTATTTCCCCTTCCCAGGGGCATCCATGCACGTCTCTCTTAGGGTTCTCCTTGTTACCTAGCTTCTCAGGGGTTGTGGATTATACCCTGGTTATCCCTTTCTTTACATCTAATATCCACTTATGAGTGATTACATACTGTGTTTGTCTTTCTGGGTCTGGGTTACCTCAGTCATGATAGTCTTTTTCTAGTTCCATTCACTTGGGTGCAAATTTCAAGATGAGAGACTTACAGTATATGATACTTGAGCCTGGGTTCTTCCTCTCTCTATGTCTACACTAACCCTTGTTCACAGACCTCTCCCACGCTGGCAAAGATCGCTTGGCATCGTCTGAATCTGGGAGCCGTTGATATCTTCTCACTATAAAACCAAGAGATAACTCCCTACAGGTACTGACCTCTGACCCAGGATATTGGCAAAGTTGTTCTGTTAGAAGCCTTAGTCACGTGTCTGAAAATGCACAACAGACTGCACATCACGGACAGAAAACTTCTATTAGGTTGGGATGAAGGAAACCCTTCATTATGACCTAGAGTTCGGAGTACATTCTCACCCCAGGGCCTGAAAGTTCTCTGGACCCTAGAACTTACATGGCTGGATAGGAGGTCCCATCTCTTACACCACTCCATGGCTCAGGAGCTTCAGGGGGTGTAAAGTACAGTGGTCCTACAGGTGGCTTGCAAAGGGAATTCCCAGGAATCTGTGGACACCAACTTCAGTGTTTTTCACCTTGGAGAAGCTTCCTCTAACCTGGCCTGTGTGTGTGTTCCTGATGGGGCTGCCTGAGTCCAGACCTGTGGGTGAAGAGATGCCAACAGGGTTAGTACTGTCCACTCTTCTGCCACCAGACTGTTGTTTCATAGCTCATTTTCATTAGGGTACTTGGGAAACAGAATCTGGGGTGTCTGGGTTCAGCTGTGAGATGCAGGGCTAGGGTTCTCTCTATTGCCCCGGTGGCCTGGAACATAGTTCATGCTTTTTCTGCATGGTGGCTGTTCATGTGTCTGTCTAATAAGGAGACATCCTCAGAGCCACTTGGCAGCATGGATGTATTATTTTCATTATCATCCAGAGTTCTGTAGCAGCTACACACACGCACAGAGGAAAGAAATGTCCCTCTCTTTCCCCTAATCTGCAGGTCCAGTGCTGCTCAGACCTCCTTATCCTGGATGGCTTTTTTGGTAAGGACGTCTCTCGTCCTCTGGGTGTTTCAGGGATCATTGTGTGGGCTTTGGTGGGGGCACTGGGAGACACACAGTTCCCTCATTCTTGTCTACCAGCTTTATAAACTCCTCCCTCCATGGTACCTTCCCACAAGGTCAGCCTCTAGTCTGAGAAACTGGGCCTACCCACACCTTTGGCCAAGCACCTCTCTCCTGACTAAACCTTAGGTGTATATGAACGTATCAAGACCAGCTTCTCACAAAAGTGGACAATAGAAATTTGGGAAGGAAATAGATGAGATTTCCTCTACTGAGATAATCTGTCCAGAGTTTTCCGTACCTGGTGTGCTTAGTAACTGATGTCAGAGAGGTCTAGGAGCTGAGCTCTGGCAGCCCATGTGGCTCAGATTCCTTTGTAGACCCTGTATTTTTCAGTCCACAGAACTTTACATATATTTCTGTATGTATATTACCAAGTTGACGATTGTTTCTGTTTTAGAGATACAGGTTTTGCTATGTTGTCCAAGTCAGTATGGAAGTCCCAGACTGATTCAATAGTCCTGTCTCAGTTTCTGAATAGCTGGAGCCACAGATACATATCACAAGACCTGCTGGCGGTTAGTGTCCTATTTGGAACAGCAGCCGGAATTTGTGAAGACCGTGGGACTTCGGGGCTCACAATCCGCATTCTACATTGTTACAAGAACTTTTATTGAGTGAATCTACCAGAAGAACAGCAGTGTCTTGTGAAGGAGTGACATGCAGAGGTCTTGTCATACGGATTGGTAAAAAGGGTGGCTGTTTATGTTAGGAATGATTATGTGAGTGTTAGGGTCAAAAGGCTGTCCAAACCTTAGAGAGAGCCCACATGTCTATGAAGCCCACACGCCTTTCTTCACACAGAGTACTACAACTCTTTGTGGCCCTCCTGAGCCCCCTTTAGCTCCTGGATCTTCTGGGGCAGAGTCTGGGTCCAGAACTGCAGCCTTCTGGCCTTCAGGGCTCGGCCCACAGCAGGCTGGATGTCCAGCTGCAGGTACTGCTCATCATCGTCCATCATGGGCCAGTAGGGTAGACCCTCACTGTTGGGGTTCCTGTGGATATGCCAACCAAGGGGGAAGGGTGAGGTCACTCTGATACAAAGTCTGACCCCTTGATTTGGGTCAGGGCAGTGGAACAATTAGGTCAGTGGTGAAGGGGCTGATGGGACAGGGACTGATGGGACACACACACAGAGGTACACACAAATTGGTGCACACACACAGAGGTACACACACACAGGTAGGTACACACACAGAGATGCACACACACAGGCACACACATAGGTATACACACAGGTAAACTTGTAGGGATACAAGTGCCACACTCTGGTTTCTGCTTCAGATAGGAGACAAATACTTGACTTGTTTTATGTCTCCGAGAGGTAAGATCTAAAGAACAGTCCCATAGCACTGTGGTCCATGTGAGATGACCAGTAACTGACACCCACAAAGTGTCTGTGTAAGTGGGTAGAGAAGACTCCATCATGTGATGAAATATCTATGCATAATAAGGCCTCCATCCAAAAAGGAGCCCTAGAAAGGTTGAGAGAGAGGTGTGTTCTCACCCATGTCTTGCAAAGTTGGCCCAGTACTTCATCATCTTCCTGTTTAGTAGCTCTTCCTCCTCAGTGAGGTTAACTGGAGTCATTAGGAAGACAAAGGTCCAAGTTAGGCCACCCCATGGAACTGACATCTCATGCTTCAGACTCACGATTCCAACTGTTGTCTGACCTCAAACTATAGGTTTTGTTACCTCCCTTCTTCACTATTTACAGTATTCATGATCCACGGAAGCCTCTCATTGAATTCTTGACCTGATGTGCTGTCTTCCCCATCACAGGCTAGCCTGGAATGGGTCCAGTTTTTAAACCATATCTATCTATCTATCTATCTATCTATCTATCTATCTATCTATCTATCTATCTATCTACATATATCTATATAACTATATATATCTACAGGTTTCTTCAAATGGACTGAGAGTTCAGGAGTCCCCCAGAGAGCCATCTGAGACCTCATTCAACTCATGGAAAATAAGGAAGACTCACTTTTCACACCCCAGAAGAAGGACCCAAAGACAAAAAGAATCTCATCACCATGGTCAGCCTTTACATGGGGTGGTTTGATATCCTTGAAAAAGCTGGGCCGATGCTGGAACTCATAGAAGTAGACAGGAGCGTGGGAACCTGCGTGAGAGGACCTGGGGTGATGTTCATGACAGCACTTTGCCTAGAACTGTCCTGACACACATTTGGTGACAAGACAGCTTGGTTTCAAGTTATCTGGAGTCACAACAGTTGAGTGGGGAGCTCTAACATGGAGCATTGGCTGTGGCTGTGGGAAGCCCCCTGTTAAGTAATGACTCTGCCCTCCACAGCTGAGTAGTTTGGTTAAGTCACAGAGTATCATTCAGTTACTTTTTCCTCTGTACCTGGATAAGATGTCACTCTCTCACACTCAACATAAGGATTTACTCAATAAAAACTCTCGGTTTTGAACCAACCAACAGGGAGCCTGCGTGAGTCTAAGCTTGGTCCTTTGCATGTATGTCATAGTGGCATAGCTTGGTGTTTTTGTGGAACTCCTAACAGAGGGAGTGGGAACTGTCTGTGACTCTGTTGCCTGCTTTTGGGACCCTTTTACTCCTACTGGGTTGCCTCATTCAGCTGTAATATGAGGGGAGGTACCTGGTCTTATTGCAACTTGAAATGTTATGTTTGGCTGATATCCTTGGGAGGCCAGCCCTTTTCTGAAGGGAAACAGAGGAGGAGTGGATGGGGAGGCAGGAGGGACAGAGAGACTGGGAGGAGAAGAGTGAGTGGAAACTGTGGTTGGGATGTAATATATGAGAGAATAATTAATAATAATAATAAATTAATAAAAAGGACTCTTGGTTGTCTGGAACTAGAGCTCTTATTCAGACACAGGTCAAGCCTGGACCCTACAGAGCTCACCTGGGACCCACTGTCTGAGCTTCTTCCCTTGATCTTGTCATAGATGTACTCACGCTGAAAATGTGCTACTTGGAGTGCAGGGACCACAAACGTGAAGTCTCCCATCATCTCTGCATACTGTATTTGGAGGGTCTGTGGGTCCTCAGTGTCCCCCATGTACTCTTCCATTATCAGTTCACTACACTCGGGAGGCAGCATCTGTACCACAGGAATCAAGAAGAATGGGGAGACACAGGCACTAAGATGTGTAGGCAGTAGGCTCAGTGGGGAAATGCAAAAGAGGTGTGGTATGGGGAAAGCTTGGAGTGACCTCAGATAGACAGGTACACACACACACAGACATGCACACAGGTAGGTACACACAGACATGCACACAGGTAGGTACACACAGACATGCACACAGGTAGGTACACACAGACATGCACACAGGTAGGTACACACAGACATGCACACACACAGGCACACACAGAGGTACACACAGAGAGATGCACACACAGGCATGCACAGAGGAACACACACAGGTAGGTACACATGCACATGCACGCGTACACGTGCACACACACACACACACACACACACACACACACACACACTTATTTCTGGAGATGCTCCTTATGAAAGTTAGACAGGGGTCCTTGCAGTAGTGGCAGTGGCCCGAGAGTCTCACCATCTGTGGTGTTGTGCTCTTCAGAACAGCAGGCAGGGTTTGTCTGGTTATTCCCTTCATTTTCTGAGCAGAGCCCATCTGGGGTATGGAGAATGGTTTTAAGTATGCCATGACATGGATATGGATCAACGAATCTCTGAGTTCCCATTGCCCATCCCAGGCTCCCAGAAGATTAGAAATGAGCCTCACCATAGAGAAAAGCCAACCATACTCATCATTGTTGACACCAATGATGCTGGGGACAGGGTGAAAATCAGCAGAGGCCAAGAGCTCCTCAGGGTGCCTGGGGAAGAACTCTCCATCCACCACTGCGGGGATGACCTTGAAGACCTGAGGGGCATTAAAATCAATGCTGAAGGTCAATGAAATACATATGCTGATGACCACTGAGTAACCTCCACCCCTTCTCCACTTGCTAATTTGTCTCAGGATGGTTATTCTCCACCACACCTCTCCATCTCACCCCTGAAGAGACCTTGCACTTGGAATAGCCGATGCTGGTATTGATTTTGCCCAGGACTCAAAGGATACTAAGCCATGGAGCTTAGGTAGTTTGCTCATACTAATGAGGACTACCTGTAACACACCTTGCAACCTGCCATCTTCCCAGCCGCACCTTGTTAATAGCCAGAATCTCTGCTTCACTCTTGCCCCGTAGACAGCGCACTAGCGTCTCTGTGTCCACAGCTGCGCAATCAGATAGATTGGCCACAGTCTGGAAAGGGAGGAGGATGAGGCTGCCTGGATGCCTTGTCTTCCAGGCAGAGGAGTTTTCCCAGGCCCGGGAGGGTGCCATTGGCTCTAAATATTATACCATGCGGTGTAATGTGTGTGGACTGGAGTCAGAACAAAATTGTTCTCATTTTCCTCTTGGTCAGCAGTGGCAGTTCTCCCTCCCTCCCTCCCTCCCTCCCTTCCTCCCTCCCTCCCTTCTCCCTCCCTCTCTCCCTCCCTTCCTCTCTCCCTCCCTTCTCCCTCCCTCTCTCCCTCCCTTCCTCCTCCCTTCCTCTCTCCTTTCCTCCTCCCTCCCTCCCTCCCTCCCCTCTCCCTCCCTTCTTCCTCTTCCCACCTTCCATCTAGTTTGAGAAATACTCTCTGGTTCTGCTGCAGCCTACACCAGTCTAGCTAGTCTGTAACCTTCCAGGGATTAACCTGTCCCTGTTTCCCATATCACTATAGGAACACCTGGATTAGAGACAAGAAAAACCACGCCCAGATATATGTGTGTTCTGGGGAATTGACCTCAGATCCTCAGACTTGCACAGAAAGCTCTCCTGCCTCTTGTACCATCCCCCAAGCCCACACATACTTGCTTTTGCCAATAATGGAAGCTTCTAGGTACAGCTTTGGTGAACATACAATATACACACCTTGTATAAAGAACTGTGGGGTGGGGGAGAGGGAGGGATCTCAACCTTGAGCCTTTCGGAAAGTACTGAAGGGAGGTTACTTCCCGTGGTCCTCATTTTTCCTGCTGATGGCAGCAGTAGAGTCCTAGAGAGTGAGCGCTAAGACAGCAGGTCAGGGCTGGAGGAATAGAGTGCACTCACTCCATAAACCACCTCAGAGGAGCTGGAGATGAGGCCAGGCAACAGGGCTACTCCACTCTCCATGATGGCTCTGTGGAAGAGTCCTTTGGACATGGGGGACACAACAAGTGAAGACACACTTGTGCCACCTGCTGACTCGCCAAAGATGGTGACAAGGTCAGGGTTGCCTCCAAAGTGGGCGATGTTCTGCTGGACCCAGCGCAGGGCGGCCACTTGGTCCAGGTAGCCCCAGTTGCCTCTGGCGTGCTGGTCTCCAGTGCTGAGAAGTGAAAGGGACATGGATCAAAGGGCTGTCCAGGTTCTTCTCAGCTGCCACTGCCCATCCCAGCCCAAGCTCACCTGAAGAAGCCCAGGACTCCCAGGCGATACTGGATAGTGACCACAGCCACATCCTCAGTGGCTGCCAGTATGGACCCATCAATCATAGAAGCCATGCCTATAACCAGAGCACCACCATGGATCCACACCATCACCTGGAGGAGTCAAGAGAGATGTCAGGAGGCTTCTTTCAGGCACAAGTTCAAGAGGGACTGCCTGCCAGATTATTGTCTTCTTTCTATCTGTGCAGCTAAACACACACAGGACTCCTCAGCATCTAAGACCCAGGCCACAGGTGAGGAACACAGTCTCATCAGCGTATTTCCAAGCCCCACAGTTACACCAAGAATCTCAGTTTGGATTAATGGATTTAAGTCCAGAGTGATGTCTCTATCACTCCCAGACTCCTCAAAAATGTGGAGAAGGGTGTCTCCATAACAGTTTTCCTGATTATGAATCAAAAGCATCACCAAATCTCATTGGCACAACCAATATCCCAAAGTTGGAAATTTGGCTTATCTCAATGTTCATCCTTGGATTCCTGCCTGGGCTCTAAGGCTCAAGTTTGTTGAGAATGTCCTGAGTGAGTCCATGGAGCACAAACCCTGACCTCTCAGAGTTCCAGTGCTCAGTGTCCTATATCCAGGGGTTAGCTGCCCACCATGACTGAGAAGGCTCTCGTGGACACCTTAGGAAAAGACTTCTCATTAGGGTTTACACTGCAGTGGAACTCAGTTGATTTTATGCCTTCTAATCCTCTTGAGAAAGAAATCTCCACCTCCACCCAGTTGACCATGGCCCAACTCTCACAGGCAGGTTAGAGCCCTCATGGGCATGCGCTGGTGTGTAGACGTTGAGATATAGGCAGTCCTCGGACATAGAGATGGGAGGCATGTAGTGTTTTATCATCTTCAAAACCCCTGAATTCATCATATCCTCATTTTGTGGACACCTGGTGACAATGACAGACAGTTATTACAAGACATGTCTGGTAGTTAAAATTGGGTTTTAGTATGGATTTTCTCTCCGACATGTTTGGCCCCTTCCTTCAAAATATTCCCCTAATGCATGAGTACGCTCTAAAGCCCTTTCCTACCAAGGTAAAGGCTACAGGCTCAATGAAATGAACCAGGTTTCACCCCACATCCAGAAACATAGGGTAGTTCACATTCCCACGTAGTTTCCAGAGGAAGCTTTTAGACATTTCTTTAAACAATGACACTTGGCTCTATGGATTGTCCCAGTGAGTGCTGAGGATGGAGTGGCTAAGGACACATCCCTGATACCCTCCTGAGAGACTTACAGTACATGGCACCAGGCCCTGGGCTTTGGCTGGTTAATGTGTTTATATTGGCGCTTGTCCCTAGATCTCTTCCATAGTGGCAGAGATCACTTGGCACAATCTGAATCTCGGAACCTTTTTTAAAGTTTCTTTCTCACTGAAAAACTGATAGACAACTCCCTACAGGAACTGGACTATGACCCAGGAGATTGGCAAAGTTGCTTTGTTAGAAGCCTTAGTCATGCATCTGAGAATGCACGGCAGACTGCACATCACATAAAGAAAACTTCTGTTATGTCGGGATGAAGGAAGCCCCTCATTCTGGCCCAGAGCTCAGAGCACATCCTCACCCCAGAGGTTGAAAGTCCTCTGAACCCCAGAACTTACATGGCTGGATAGGAGGTCCCATCTCTCACACCACTCCATGGCTCAGGGGCTTCAGGGGGTACAAAACGCAGTGGTCCTATAGGTGGCTTGGCAAAGGGGATTCCCAGGAAGCTGTGGACACCAACTTCGGTGTTTTTCACCTTGACGAGGCTTCCTCTAACCTGGCCAGTGTGTGTGTTCCTGATGGGGCTGGCTGAGTCCTGGCCTGGGAGAGAAGCCACCAGGGTTACTCCTACTCAGGCAGCTGCCGCCATACTGTTGTTTCCCACCTCATTTTCTCTAGGGTCCACGGGGGAGGGAATCTGGGGTGCCTGGGATTAGCTATGAGATGTGGGGAAAGGAGTTTCTTTATCGTCCCGATGTCCAGGAACATAGCTCATGCTCCTTTTGAGTGGTGGCTGTGCAAGCGTGTGACCAACAAGGAGACATCCTTAGAGCCACTTGGTAGCATGGGTATATTACTTTCATGATCATCCAGAGTTCTGTAGCAGCTACACACACGCACAGAGGAAGGAAATGTCCCCTTGGTTCTTTCCCCTAATATGCAGGTCCAGTGCTGCTCAGACCTCCTTAAACTGGATGGATTTTGTGGTAAGGACATCTCTAGCCTCTGGGTGCTGCAGGGCTCATTGTGTGGGTTTTGGTGGGGGCACAGGGAGGTCCATAATTCCCACCCTTTTATCTGCCATCTTTACCAACTGCTCCCTTGTTGGTTCCTTCCCTTCTGTAAGACAAGCTGCCCACTCTGCAGATCTGGGCGGCCCTGACCCTGGTCCTCAGTGCTCACTGAAGGAGTCTCACCTTGTACATGCAGGAAGAGAAGCAGGAGCCCACAGGTCACAGCCTTCAACCAGCCAGGGAATCTTTCCAGTTTCATGGTCGGCTCCTAATCTGAGTCCGTGTTGCTACTGGATAGCTGTGTGTCACGGACAGAAAAGAGAATATGTGGGCCTTGTGCAGGCAGGACGGTGGACCTACAATAAAGTAACAGAAACTCAGCAGGGTGGGGCAAAGTTTGTTCTTGCTCTTTGGCCTCCATGAAATAGATATCATGGCATCTAAAGCAACTCTGTGATACCAGGAGTCCTGTATGAAAACTTAAGTGAACTCAAACCGTGACGGATTAACATAAAGGATCATGAGCTAAATTTTCCCAGTGAAAGAATTATTTCCATCCTTGAAGTGTGGATTGTTGCTTACCTCATCCTCTTATGCAAATTTACCAAGTTACTCCAGTGAAAGGTAAATTTTATTGTATAGAGATCATTTGATGGCAAAGCTTTCCAATGGTAAGAGGGTTACATAGTGTCTAAAAATGCCTTGGTGAAGTGTTCTGTACATCCGCAGAAGTCTACATCTCACAGAGATGTGTATACAGCAGGAACTCAGTAATGCCCTCAGGTGCCTGTGGAAGTACCAGGCACAGCTCCTCTGCCCAGCTGTAGAGGCCAGGCAAATAGTATTCTCATAGCTCTCCTGCCTCCTGGTGGTCAGAGAGGGCACTGCAAGAATCATCATTTGGATTATGATGTTCTATTGGTTTAAAACAACAAATCGAAAAATAAAAACAACAAATGAAAGAAGGAATGATACCAGTGTTCCCAGGTCAGGGAATAATTGCACACCGCTGTAATCTCAAGCCCCTAGACAAGAGGACTGTGTTTTGGACATGAAGTAAATTTCAGGACAATCAGTCCAACATATTGAAACTCCCTTTTTTGAATTTACAAATACACAATATAAGGCATTCCCATCAACCCCTTTGCTTGTTACTGTGCTCATTTTGGGAGGGGACAAGGGAGGGTGCACAGGCTGGGGTGGAAAGAACTTGAATTCTAACCCCACAGTAGATTTGGAGCTGTAAAATAGTGAACACCGGATCCCATTCTATTAAACATCTTCACAGATGACACAAACATCTTCACAGATGACACAAACATTTTCATAGATGTGCTGTGATCATGCAAGGGTGGGCCTCAGAGTCAGCAGAACCCTCGAGGGTAAAAACAAATCTCAGCAGACACAAAGGAATCAGCCCTACTCTTCTGGACACACACACACACACACACACACACACACGTACACCTCCTGCAGATGCTCCACTCACAACACAACCCGGGAAACAAAAATCACACTCTCTTTTTACAGTGGATAATATTGGATCTAGGTCTTACACGTGTCAGATAAGAACTGTGCCACTGACCTGTATTCCCAGATCACTGGAAATTTTAACCTCAGGCTTGTAAAGCTTCTAGATACCCAGACCTATCTCTTATAAAACTTAAAGCACTTGGACCTTGCAGCAGAAACAGACTGTATTGATGGAGTACGTTAAATGTAGATCATCTGTGATGTTTGATTAGCAAACACTAAGTAGCAACATTTTCCATCATTCATGGCGTTAGTGGCTAATGTGGGGACCGCTAGTGTCGTGTTCTGAATGTTAATGCACCACATACCTATGTTGAAACCTAGTCTCCAGTGGGATGTTAGTATCATTGGGTCTTTAAGAGTTGTCACAGGGACCAGGAGATAAAAAAGCCACGACAGAGAACTGGATCTAGGGTCTTGCACAAGTTAGATAAGTGCTATACCACTGAGCTGTATTCTGTGACCCTTGGGGTTTTATTTATTCTTTGGTAATTTCATATATGAACACAATGTGTCCAGATCTTGAACACAATTAGTTATTCCATCTGCCCAGTAGAAGACACAGGTTTAGTCCTTGGCATAGAGAAATAGCCCTCACCACACAGCACATATGCTGGTATGTGCTTCATGGTCTCCAAAACTACAAACACACTAGTTGTTTGTAACTCACATAGGTTATTGTACATACATGTTCACACATGTATATAACATATATATTCTTTTTTTTATTGAGAAAAGGAGAAAAAAAAACAAATTTCCTCCTCCTCCCAGCCTCCCATTTCCCTCCCCCTCCTCCCACCCTTCTCCCCCTCCCCCCACTCCTCTTCCCCTCCCTCTCCAGCCCAAAGAACAGTCAGGGTTCCCTGCCCTGTGGTAAGTCCTAGGTCCTCCCCCCTCCGTCCATTTCTAGGAAGGTGAACATCCAAACTGGCTAGGCTCCCACAAAGCCAGCACATTACGTAGGTTCAAAACCCCGTCTTGAGACCTTGTGTATATACATAGAATGGGTCGTCCTTTAGCTCTTAAGATAACAAAACCCTCCTACTTCAGTCTTCCAAGGAGCTGAACCACAGACATCTATCTCAGAACTGAATGAGCTGGCAGCCTGAACTGATGAAGACAGCGGGGCTGAGGCTCACCAGAAGTTTCATAAATCATTTGTAGATAGGAGAAAACTTGGTGTTTGACAAGAAGTGGATATGGAAATTTGACAGTCAACCATTACCAATGTAGACAGTTACCCCAAAGCGTCTAAAGAGCAGAAAGCACTGAACTGTATTCCCAGATCACTGGAAATTTTTTGTTCTTTGGTAAATTCATACGCTAATAAAATATGTCATATTCAACCCTACACCACAACACCCTCAAGATACCCCAAACTCCCACCATATTCTTCTTCTAATTTTGTTATTCCTTCCTCTTCTCTTCCTTCTCCTTTTCTCCTCCTGCTGTTCTTTCTTTTCTTTTTCTCCCTTCTCTGCCTCCTCCTCCTCCTCCTTCTTTTTCTCTTTTTCCTCCTTTAATAACCCATTCACTGAAATTAGACTTAATCATTTTTGTACTTATCATGTGGAGAGAAACTGTAACTAATGTTGCCTTCCCTGGAGCTTGCTCAATAGCTCAGGCAGGTTTATCTTGTGATTCCTGTCCTCAGACCTCTGAACAGAAAGGATTGCAGGCCTATGTCATCTGATCTGCTTTTTATTTTATTTTATTTTCTATGGTGTTGGGCATCAAACCCAGGGCCCTGTAATACAGGGCAAGCTCTCTACAACTGAGTTATATCCCTAACCTTAAAACTTCTCTAACTGTTCGACTCATGTGTCACATGACTAGGGAATCTTGCTCTAGCTTGTAAATTCAAAACTTGAGTACATGTGATCACATGAAATCATGTGTGAGAATATCCATACAGCTTTATTAAAATACAAACCCGGGATTGGAGGCTCATGCCTATAATTTAAACACTCAGGACGCCAAGGCAGTGATATCACGAATTCAGGGTCCGCCTGGGCTACATAGAGACCTTGTGCAAAAATGAAGAGCAAATAAACAAGTGAAACAATAGGTTGGGTGAAAATAAGCAGTTGCCCATCGTTAGGGTAAGTGGATAGAATGTGGTGTGTGCACAGCTGGATGGCATTCCACAGTAGAAGCAAACAAAAACATTGTGTGAAGTGTCACAGCCAGTCACCCAACTTTCCACTTGTACTTCACTGGAAACGAGCCCCAATATAGCAATTTAAGTAATGTCTTGGTTACAGTGGCCAGTGAATGACAGCAAAGGGGCATGAGGAAAGCCTTGGTGGGGGAGTGAGGGCTGTTCTGAACCGGACGTGGCGGCAGTTGCATGCGAGTTTTTTCAGACTTACGAAGTCATTCATCTAAAAGAGAGTTCACAGTAGTCTAAGGGAATAGTTTGGGCAGAGCACTTGCCTGACACACATAAGCCCTCACATCAAGCCCTCGTCCCATAAAGACAACCCACAGCCAAGATACTAAAAGTGAGATCATTATTAAATGTCTAGAACAGATTCTGGCTCGGTGTTGGAAGTTTAGTGTGTATGTACAGAACTGAAAAGCAAAAACAAGCTTGCAATAAGAACTTTAATAAATTCTCTACACATAGAATGGGAACAACCTGCACGGTCAGTCTCACTAAGAGGACAGTCTTCCTTGTCCCCTGTTCAAGTCAGCAGGACTTAATGTTGTCCTTGGAATTCCATTGTTTACACATCCTACCAGCAGAGGGCTCAAGATGTAATCCTTGAGACCTCTAGCAAGAGACCTGTATGACACCATAAAGCAAATCTGTGGACATCTGGTACCTGATTCTCAATCTATAAAACTGTACATTTGATACCATTTGTAAGTTGTCGAGATTATGACTTTTGGTTTTGTTTCTGAGCTGTGGCCTTGTTATTTTGCCCTGGGCTTATATAATCCTCCTGTCTCAGCCTCCAAACACTTGAGGCCACAGACGCTAAGAGCCCAGCTTGTAGTTTATGATCTATTGGGAGCAGCTTTGTGAAATTATGAAGTCAATAGGGATTTGGGAAATCAGATTTTAAGAATTTTCTGTTGGCAGATGAGAAACAGAAAACATGAACTTGATGAGAAAGGACAGAGGAATTCCTGTTGTCAATTGTGCCCAGAGCTTCTGTTTCATTTGAAGAGATTCTAAGGCTTGGAAAAGAAGAGAAAGAGGATGTGAAAAGATGCTGAGAGGAAGGAAAGCAGGGAGGGAAGGAAGGAGAGAGGGAGGGAGGAGCGAGCCTAATCACAGTGAAGTGTTAAGATGGGGGAACATTGGGGTTCACACATCCATATGGTTATGAGAGCATTTACTGAGTCTAATAAAATGTGTCCAGAGGATAAGGAGTAACGCCCAGAGGGATTGTCTTCCTGACTGAAAAGGCAAAAGCTGAGGTTAGAAATGCTTATGTGAGCATTGAAACAAATAAGTTAAATAAATGGAATTTGTAACCTCAGGATGACCCCATCCACCTTTCCCGCCACAGGGCACTAAAGCTCTGTGTGCTTCTCCTGAGTCCTCTTTAGCTCCTGGATCTTCTGAGGCAGAGTCTTCGTCCAGAACTGCAGCTTCCTGGCCTTCAGGGCTCTACCCACAGCAGGCTGGATGTCCAGCTTCAGGTACTGCTCATCATAACCCAACTCAGGCCAGTAGGGTAGACCCTCACTGTTGGGGTTCCTGTGGATATGTCACCAACAGGGAAGGGTGAGGTTACTTTCACCCAAGACATGATGCCTCGATTTGGGTCAGAGCAGTGGATGAGTAGGCCAGGGGTCTGAGGGCACAGGAGGACTGGTGTACAGATGTAGAACTCAAGTGTCGCCCACCAGTGTCTGTCTGGTCAACCTGAAGCAAGGGAAGCTCTCTAGCTTTATGTCTTCCTCTCAGAGGGAAAATCAAAAGAACAGTACCACAATGGTGTGACTCACCAACAACAAGGACTCTGTGGGATGAGCAGTAACTAAAAGCTAGAAGGTGTCTGCCTAAGTGTGCCCTGGGTTGGAGAAAACTACTGTGAAAACAAGGACCCATGCATAATAATGAACACACCCATATGGAAGCCCTGGATGGAGACCCAGCCAAAAAGAGGTTGAGACAGGGGTGCATTCTCACCCATGTCTTGCAAAGTTGGCCCAGTACTTCATCATCCTCCTGTTCAGCAGCTTCTCCTCCTCAGTGAGGTCAACTGCAGACAAAAGGAGACAAGGGTCAAAGTTCTCGCTACCTCATGCATCTGCCAACTCAGGCTCTACAATAGCAACCATAGCCTGACCCTTACCCTGGCCTGGTGTATGCTCTCTTTCCTCAGCACTCAGAACCCAGGGTCTGTTTATGCCTCTACCTGAATTCTCTCAGGTTCACTCCTACCCCAGTCTGCTTTCATTCCTTCTAGCAAAGCTAGACTAGGAAAGGTTCATATTCTAAACCTGGTAGAGGTTTTGTTGGTTCGTTGGTTTGTTTGTTTGCTTGTTTTTTTTTGTTTTGTTTTGTTTTGTTTTTTGTCTTATTTTTTTTTTTCAGCTCAGAAATGGTGAACACTTGATCCTGTTCTCTTTGAGATCCTCGGTTTCTTCAACTAGACTGAGAGCTCAGCCTTCCCTGAGGACCTCATCAGGGACTCCATTCAGCTCAAGGAAAACAAGGAAGACTCACGTTTCAAGCCCCAGAGGTTGGAGCCAAAGACAAAGGCACCGTGATCACCGTGGTCGGCCCTCACATGGGATGGCCTGAGGTGCTTATGCTTGGTGAAGCTGGGCTGGTGCTGGAACTGATAGAAGTAGACAGGAGCATGGGACCCTGGGAGTGAGGACAAATATTGACATAACGATTTCTCACATGGAGCGTTCCCACTTAACCTTCACTGAAAAGAAACCTTGCTCTAAAGTTATCTGGAATCACAGTAGAGTAGTGAGCCTCAGACTGGAGCACTGAGTACGGGAATCATTTTACTAAACAGTGGCCCTGACATTCCCACGTGAGTAGTTTTGACCAGACCCCAAGTGTGACTAAAATGTTTCTTCCTCTGGACCTGGATATGATGCCGTTCATTTACTCCAGACATAAGGATTTGCTGAGGTGTGCCTCACTGTCTTCAGGTACCTGATGTTAGAGACCTGATGATGACATGGGTCAGGCCTGGACACTACAGAGTCCATCTGGGACCCACAGCTCTGAGCTTCTCCTGTCCTAGGGATTGTTACAGATGTACTCACGCTGAAAATGAGCTACTTGGAGTGCAGGGATCACAAACATGAAGTCCGCCATCATGTTTCTGAACTGTGCTTGCAGGGTCTGGGCATCCTCCACATCCCCCATGTACTCTTCCATTAGCAGGTCACTACATTCAGGAGACAGCATCTACACCAGGAGGAATCAGGAAGGGAGATGTCAGGCAAGTCCTTGGATAGGTGGGCAGCAGCCTCCTAGTAAGGAATGTGGCCAAGGATGAGACAGGGTATAGGCAGAAAAGTACAAGCATTGGGTGAGCCCACACAGAAACACACACATGCATTAGCCTTTATTCCGGGTGTGACATCGGAGAAGAATATATGGGAACCCTCTCTATCAGGACAGGAACCAAGGTTTCTCACCATATGTGCTGCTGTGTTCTTCAAAATACCCGGCAGGGTCTCTCGGGTTATGTTCTTTATGACATGATCAAAGCCCATGTACTGGAAAGTAGAGGAGAGTCTTAAGTATAGGATGGGTTGTCTCTAGAGCAAAGTATCTCTGAGTTCCCACCACCCACCATCTGAGCTTAAGTTCCCAGGAGCTTATAACAAGGTCTCACCAAGGGGATTCCCCAGCCAAATTCATCACTGTCGATACCAATGATGCTGGGGACAGGGCGAAAATCCCCAGAGGCCAACAGCTCCCGAGGGTGCCTAGGTAGGAACGTCCCATCCACCACACCAGGGGTCATAGTGAAGACCTATGGGGCATTAAGGGTCATTGTTGAAGATAAACCACATAAATAATCAATATTCTGATGCCCACTGAATGCCCACACCATTTTCCCATTTCCTATAGCATCTCAGGATCTCAATGTTAACTCCAGAAGAAACTGGACATCAAAATTAGCCTGTCTTTCATTTTGCACAGAGTACTAAAACAACACCAAACCAAGCAGACTAGTTTTAACTAGTTCCAGTAGTAAGTACTGACAACCCTAAATCCTGGAGACCAGATTCTCCGAGCCACACAATTTTCCCAACCTGGTTGATAGCCAGAATCTCTTCTTCACTCTTGTCTCGGAGGCAGAGTACCATGGCCTCTGGGTCCCTCGCTTTACATCCAGAGAGGTTGGCCACTTTCTGCAAACGGAATAGGTGATGGTTAGCTCGTTCCTTCCACTAGGGGGCAGAGTTTCCTTGTTCCAGTAGATGGCATTGCCCCTAAATACCACATCCTGCTGTTTGCTGTTTGCTGTGTGTGAAAGTGGAATCGTTCACGTTTTCTGTGGTTCAGAGGTGACAGCTGGGACAGGGACTGTGCTACCTGCATATTTGTTCTGTTGTTGCTTTGTTTCTGTGTGTGGAAAATAGATATGCTGTGTCATATTTTGCCTGTGAAGTTCAGAGAACACCTTCAAGCGTCACTTGTCACCTTACACCTTGTTTGCATTTGTCTACACAAGCTTAGCTGGACTATGTCTATTCAAGGATTCTAATGTCTCTTTTCCCATCTCTGCATAGGAGCACTGGGGTAACTGTCACATAGTACCACCTCTAGCCTTGTGTGGGCTCCGGGTGTTTGAACCTGGGGACTCACACTGGCACAACAAGTATTTATAACAGCTGACCCTTTCCCTCAATCTATGTGTACCAATTGTCTCTATCAGATTGGTCCATACATAAGTCTGGGCATTTTCCTGGTAAATGACTGATACAGAAGAGCCCATCACATTGAAGGGTACATGCCACACATGGGCAGGTGTCCTGGGCTGTATAGGAAAGCAAACTGAGGAAGCCATGGGTATCCAGCAAGTATGCAGTATTCCTCACTGGTCTCTGCTTCAGTTCTGGTTTCCAGGGACTTGCCTGAGAGCCCACTCTATCTTCCCTTCAAGTTGTACTATAAACTGTAAGCTAATATTAACCTCTTTTCTCCCAAAGTAGCTTTTGATTATGGTCTCTGTAATAGTAATAAGGAAATCATGCAAATGAGTTTTGTCAATGGTAGAAGCCACTGGACACAGCTTCTCTGTTGCGTATCTTATTCAGCATACATAAAGCAGAGGGGGATGGATTGTAAATTTTATGCCTCTCAGAATTTACTGGAAATAATCTATTTCCAATGGTCATTTTTTCTTCACTTAAGAGATTAACGGAGTACCAGAGGCGCAGACTGAAGCACCAAAGTAGGAACTGTTATTTATTTTTTTTAAATATTTATTTACTTATTATGTATACAATATTCAGTTTGTGTGTATGCCTGCAGGCCAGAAGAGGGCACCAGACCTCATTACAGATGGTTGTGAGCCACCATGTGGTTGCTGTGAATTGAACTCAGGACCTTTGGAAGAGCAGGCAGTGCTCTTAACCGCTGAGCCATCTCTCCAGCCCCCAGGAACTGTTATTGATAAGGACACTCACTGTGTAAACCACCTCAGGTGTGTCAGAGATAAGGTCAGGCAGCAGGGCCACTCCACTCTGCATGATGGCTCTGTGGAAGAGTCCTTTGGACATGGGGGACACAACAAGTGAAGACACACTTGTTCCTCCTGCTGACCCGCCAAAAATGGTGACCTGGCCAGGGTTGCCTCCGAAGTAGGCGATGTTCTGCTGGATCCAGCGCAGGGCAGCCACTTGGTCCAGGTAGCCCCAGTTGCCTGTGGCATGCTGGTCTCCAGAGCTGAGAAGTGACAGGGACAGGAATCACAGATCTGTCCATATTCTACTCAGACCCCACTGTCCAGCCCAGTTCCAGGCTTACCTGAAGAAGCCAAGGATACCCAAGCGATACTGGATAGCAACCATTATTATATCCTCAGTAGCAGTCAGTATGGATCCATCAGTCATGGAAGCCATTCCCAGAACAAGTGCACCACCATGAATCCATACCATCACCTGGAGAAATCAACACAAATCTCAAGAGGCACAACCAGCCCATGGTCAACTGGACTACATACTAGATTATCAATTGCTTTGCCTCTGGGAAGGTCAATTTACACACAGATCTCCTTAGGATTTTGGGACACAGTCCACAGATATGGTACTCTAGACCTATAAGCATATTACCATTCCCAATTCCCCATCAGGAAATCTTAGCTTGAATTAATGGCTTTACGTCACAAGTAATGAGATCATCACTCTCAGACTCATCAAAGTGGAGCAAACAGGAGTGTCTCCATGTGCGTCTTTCCTGATTGCTAATCAGAAGAGACATCAGATCCCATTGGCACAACAGATAACCTGCAGCTAGGAATTTTGATGATGTCAATATGCAGCCCTTGAACACTCTCTTGAGTGGGTCTACCAGGTTCAAGTTGGTAGAAAAATTTCTGGTTTAATCAAAGACATAGAGCCTCTTATCTCTCAGAGCTCCAGAGCTCTGAGTCCCACACCCAGGGGTAAGCAGCTCAGCATGGCTGGGATCACCTTCCTGACCCCAATAAGTTAAGACTACCTATCAGGGTATAAACTAGAGTACAGTTCAGAATTACTTTTTCCCTTCCAATCCTCCAGAGAAAGAAACATCCTCCTCCCCAGCCGACAATACCCTGCCACTCACAGGCAGGTTAGATCCTTCACGGGCATGCGCTGGTGTGTAAATGTTGAGATACAGGCAGTCCTCAGACATAGAGATGGGATGCATGATCAGATTCATCTCCTCAGCGCCCTCTAGAGTCATTACATCAGTCTGCAGACACCTGGAGAACATGGCAAACAGTCCAAGATATATAATACCAAACCTAAAAATCATAGTCTGAATTTTCTCTTAGGCACCTTCAGCTACTGCTTTCCATGATTTCCTACTAACATCTGATCCCTCTCTGAAGTCCCTTCCTACCAAGGTAAAGGCCACCAGCCCTGTGGGAATGGGGATGGAGGAGTACTTTTAGAGAGGCCTCTGGTTGGGTAGTAGCGCCCTGAGGGCTAGAATATGGGGAATATGAGGACTGCTGCCATCCTCTATGAGATGGTCGCCTTCCCATACTGACTTTTATCCCTTCTGTGCTACTTAAACCCTGGTGTGGGGGTTGGTTTTGACTGTTGACTGACACAATGTGGAATCACCTGGGAAAAGAATCCTAATGAGGAATTTTCTAGATCAGCCGTTCTCAATTTGACTAATGCTCTGAGACATTAATAGAGTTCCTCGTTTTGTGACCAACCATACACTCTCTTGTTGCTACTTCATAAGTGTAATTTTGCTACTGTTATGAACAGTAATGTGAATATCTGTTATACAGGATATTTGATATGCAAACCCTTGTGAGGGTTGCAACCAACAGGATGAGAACCACTTGTCTAGATCCTGTTTGCCTGTGGGAAGGCCCATGGCAAATTATCTGATTACATTGATTGACAGAGAAACACCTGCCCATTGTAGGCGGCACCAGTGCCTGGGAAGGGGCTTCAGAATTGTTTAGGAGTCAGGAGAGTGAGTGAACGAAGCATTAGCAGTCATGCATGTAACATATAGGCTCAGTTTCTGATTAGCGATAGGACGTGATCGGTCCTCTTAAACTTCTGCCCTGTGGTTTCCACCTGTAACCGATTGTGACCTGGAATTGTGACCCATAGTAAAATCTTCCCTCTCTGCATTGTTTATGTCAGGGTCCTCTATCACAGCAACACAAAGCAAACTAAGATACTTGGGTGTTGGGGCTGTGACCACACGGGAGCTATAGGGATGAATGGACAACACCACAGGGTAGTGAGACATTCTCCATCTCACTCCAGACTCTCACCGTACCTCCTTCTTCCACATTGTCTCCAGTTAAAAGCATGTGTAATTGTTCGTTAGCCAATGGCACCTAGAAAACGGATGGTCACAATGACCTTGAAGAATAGCCTTAGTCTGTGTTCCTCACTGCAGAACCTGCAGCTAAGTCCCTACAGGCATCAAGATCTGACCCAGGATCCTGGCACCATCGTTTCTCTCTAATCCTTAGCACATTCCTCTGAAAACTGCATGGGAGATGCCCTCAGGACAGACAGAACACTGCTATAGAGCTGAGACAGAAGAAGCACAGCAGTGTGGTCTAGAGCTCAGGCCTGAAGTCCCCTTGGGCCCCAAAACTTACATGGCTGGAAAGGAGGTCCCATCTCTCACACCACTCCATGGCTCAGGGGGCTCCGGGGGTGCAAAACGCAGTGGTCCAACAGGTGGCTTGGCAAAGGGAATCCCCAGGAAGGTATAGACACCAAGTTCACCGTCTTTCACATGGACGAGGCTTCCTCTCACCTGCCCTGTGTGTGTGTTCCTGATGGGGCTGGCTGAGTCCTGGCCTGTAGGGGAAGAGAAGCCATCAGTTGTCACCACAGAGTTACACCACGGGGTAGGTAACCTGGGTCCTCTCAGCTCAGCTGTGCGATGTGAAGACGAGGTCACCTGGATTACCTATGTTACTATTGCTGGAAAGCATGACTGTTGACCCTCTTGGAAACTGACAGGTCACTTCTCTAGTCGTCAAGGCGTCAGGCTGAGAGCCTCTTGGCATTATGAAGGAATTATTATCATTATCCACACTGCCACGTGGAGTTCCAGCCACAACCACACACAGAGGAGGGACATGTCTTCTGTCCCTGCTGGCTCCACAGTACAGGATAACTTTACACATCTCTGACTCTTCCTGTGCCACAGGGCCCATCCTGTGAGCTTTGGTGGTGGCATTAAGGGGTGTACAAATTCACACTTTCATCTTCACCTCCACCAGCTCCTCCCTCCCTGGTGCCTTCCCTCCCAAAAGCTCAGCCTCCGACTCTGCAGAACTGGGCAGCTCTGACCCTGGTCCCTCTGCTCACCATGCACGCGGAGGAGGAGAAGCAGGAGCCCATAGGCCACAGCAAACAGCCAGCCAGGAAGTCTATCGAGCGGCATGGTTGAATCCCAGAGCTAACTCTGTGCTGCTACAAGATGACAGTCTCACGACAGCAGGAAGCAGAGAAGGTAGGACTTGCCCAGGCAGGAAATTTATTTATACCTTTTGATGTGCAGGTGCAAAGTTCTTATTGCAGTAGAACTGATAAGGGAGAAACCACTGGGAGCCAATAGCCAGCAGGCAGGGAAAAGTCACTCTGCAGTTTCTCCTCCTTCTCTGGACTCTGAGAGAGACGGAGCATAGCACCTGAAGTCCTTCTGGAATCAGGATCCCTGACATGAACTTGGAGTCACCAGGATTTCTGGCCCTTTAATCCAATGTGGTGGGGGAGTGAAGACCCCAACAACACACACAGATACACAGACACACAGTTGTCACACAGTCACACACACACACACACACACACACACACACACACACACACACAGCCTCGTTTGTACCAGCACTGACATGAGAGCTGCTGGGAGAAGCACAGCCACTACTGCACACAAAGTCCTGGCCTGCTGTGCTGGGGACCAGGAAATGAGGGCATGACAGACAGTCACCTAAGGACCTAAAAGACCCGCAGGCTCTAAGTCTGGACATTGGGTGAAGATAAGTGTTTGGACACCATGGGTTTGTCGACTCTTCCTTACCTCAGAAAATGTCCTGCTTTGGGTGCTGTGCAGACCTGATCCTCTCTGCCTGGGAGTGCAGGGAGGGGTCCAGGGAGACCCTCCTCCTGCTGTGTGTCACCTCTACAGCTCCACCTCCCTGGCCCCTCCCCTCCCACAGCACCACATTCAACACTGCAGAGTCTGGCAGACCTGATGAGTTGCAACAAGAAAAGTTAAAAGCCCCAAATCAGCCAAGTGAATCTTCTCCTGCAGCCCTCCCCCATCTGACCCGCAGGAATCAGCATCTTTGGTGCCACCTTTGTGGATGAGGCCAGGGCAGCAGCCACTCACAGCCACCCAAGAGTGACTTCCAACATCTTTCTCAGTCAAGTGTCACCCTGTCCTGTGACTTGCTGCCTGCACACAATGGCCTTCCAGATAGCATCTTTGTCCATGATTCTCACTGCCTGTGATGACTGACAGTTATTGCAACAGATAAAACCTATGGAAACGGTCCTGGTTAGAGCCTGCCCACACCCACAGTGCTTTACCTCACCATGAAACCCTGTGTAATGGAGTGAAATGTCCTGTGACTGGAAGCTAAGAAGTCATATCCAGACCAGGAGTCACTGGTGAAAATCAAATTAGGTGAACAAATTTCTTCTCTTTCTGCTTTTTGCTTTTGTTTTGATTTTTGTGACAGAGTATTGTATGTAGTTTAGACTGGCCTGCTATCTCAGCTTCTCAGATTCTGGGTTTATGGCGTATCACCTATAAAACATGCAGCTAATATACCCTTTTAAGTAATCTTGGGCATCGTCTGTAAGCTTCCGCTACTTTGATGTTCTCATGGATGACACAGGTCAAGGATGAGACAGAAGAGGACAGGTACACTCTATCTCTCTTACAGTTGTCACAGAATCTGAGCCCAGGAATCCAAAGAATACCCCAAACAGTAGCCATGAGTCACTGTTTCTGCATGGAGAACTCTGGTGACCTCCCAGAGCCTGGTGACCCACAGCAGGGGTCACAGGTGAGGTGAGTTCAGTGGCTCTGACTGGGGATGATCAACAAAGTTTACACTATGAGATTGCAGAATCCCAGGAGGAGGTCAGTGGATTCACACTAGGAGAGTGTCTGCGCTGCACACACCATGGGCATGAAGCCATTTTGGCTCAAATCCTGATAAGAGCCTGAGAATTTCTGCTAGGCCCAGAGCACACATGTCCTTTGCTCTGGAAGCCAACCTGCCTTTGCCTCAAGATAGGTGCATGGTTAAATGAGCCCAGGGACCACTAAGGTCAACTGAGGCCCATGGGGCACTTCTATATGCCTAATAACTCTAGACCAGTCAAAGGATGGTAGGCCACTGTCCTGTCCTAAGTGACACACTCACATATCACACTATATATTATCATTATCCAAAAGTCCGGGAGCAGCTACAGATACAAAAGCACCTAGGAAAAGATCCCTCTGTTTCTTTATCCCCTGATCCGCAGGTCCAACACAACTTAGATCCCATACTTCTGGGCTGGCTCCTCAGTATGGGTCACCTCCTCCTGCGTCAGTGATGTTTTGCTTGGGAGAAGGCTCCTCTGTGGGCTTTGGGAGGCACACCTGAAGTCAGTTTAAGTAAGGTTCCCCTTAAGAGTCTCCCCTGAATGAGAAGGAGAAGCAGGAGCCCTTAGGTCACAGCATTTAAGCAGTTAGGAAGTTAATCTGGTTGGCATAATGCCCTCCCAGTCTGTGCTACAGTGGGGTGCACTGTGTGTCATTGACAGGAAACAGAATGTAGGGACCTTGCTCAGACGGGAATTTGGATCCAAAGTGGAGTAGGAGGAAAGCTTCCTGGGACAGGGAAAGGTCTGAACTGAACTGGCAAAGTAGAGGGTACAAGAGTCAGTTGTAGCAGATAGAACCAAGCCAGGTCCACCATTCCTGCTTCACCTTTATCCTCTATGGAAGGCACAGCAGGGCTCCCAAGGTCCTTCTAGGACACCAGAAACCCTCTCTTTAACCTGGAGCCACTGCATTCACAGTCCCTCCAGCAACAAGGCCTGGGGCAGGTGTTGGGGTGGAGGGGAGGCTGCAGAGAGCTGTAACTGGAAATATCAGGAGGGCGTCTCTAGTAGACGATGCTGAGGACGTCACAGGCAGAGGATGGGGTGCAGCTCTGAGAAAGGGGACATGGATCAAAGAGAACTGCATGAGCATGCCTGCCACCCCAAAAACTGCTCCCTGCTTCCAGGACTTACAGTTTCCTGAGTCCACATTCAGGGTCCCTCATCCCTTGCAGTTGTGATTATAAGTCTAACATCACCCTCCCTGCTCCATAGCTGTTTCATTGAAACACACTGCCAACCTGGCACCTCTGAAGGACCTACCCCCTACCCACTCCACCTCCATACTGCATTACTCTCATGGCCAGCTCTACAGAGATGAAGTTCACAATCATTTATACACTCAATTAACATTTAATGGGGACATACTGGTTGTGGTGTCTGACACTAACGAGGCTTTCAGAGCTTATAATACATGTCTATGGGTAGGAGTTTCAGAATCACATAGAACCCTGCCAAATCAGCCTCTTTTTAAACCAGTGGTAATAAAACATATTCACAGCATACAGAGAGACATCCCACATTATTTCCCCTTTTCTGTCTAATCAGAAAGGAAGGTTTTAACTTTAACATAGTAAAATTAAATGTAACAAAATGGTTATCAAGAAAAGATTACAGATACAATATTTAGTCTATTTGTACTTGACAAAATTGAATACTCTATCACCTATCCTATCTTTGTGAGTCTAAAGTTTCATATTTAACTTATATTTTCTCATAACTAAGAAAAACTGTAGTTATAGCTATCTAGTCTTCAACTCCATCGAGGACTCCAGAAGGATATAATATCACCTAAGTAAACAGGAAGTGTATTGTAAACAACTTCCAAAACTCTATCAATGACAGAAACATCTGGCTGCCTGGACAGTCACCCAAAGTTCTTCTATAATGTTGGGGCATCCATCTTCAGCCTACAGGCCCATAGTACCTGGAAGACTTTTAGATGAAGCAAGAAATTTGAAAGACTGTTCCACCTATATTGGCAATTTGTCAGTCATTTTCCTCTGTGTACTGCAGAATGTCTGGCAGTTTCTTATGTGGAGCAGGAACCCTGAAGGAGCACCTTGCCTTGTTTTGACAAAGTTCAACTGTCATTTTCTTATGGGACCTTCATGTCCAGTTTATACAGCATGCAGGCAAGCAGTCCAGGCAAGAGCAGTTCCTTGACTACATGGATAACCTTGCCACACTGAAAGCAAACTCCATAAGGAGTTTAACAAGACCAAGGATGGGGAGCTCAGAGCTGTGGGTCCCAGGTGAGCAGGATAGCATCCAGACCTGACTCACATCTTCACCAGGTCTTTGATACCAGGCACCTGAAGACACTGACCTCAGTAAATCCTTATGTTTACTGTAAAAGAGTCCAGAGGAGGAAACATGTTATTTACTGCGTCTTGTCTAAGCTGCTCATCTGGGAATGCCAGGGTTAGTGTTGAACAAAAGGCCAATGCTCTAGTCTGGAGCTCACCAATAAACTGTGATTCCAGATAACTTTGGAGCAAGGTTTCTTTTCACTGAAGGTTAGGTGAGAAAGCTCCATGTGAGAAATCATTATGCCAACATGTGTCCTCACTCCCAGGTTCCCATGCTCCTGTCTACTTCTATGGTGTCTATTGTTATATCCCCCTTTTCATTTCTAGTTCCTTAATTTGGATATATTCTCTCTCTGTCTTTCGGATTTTTTTGAATAAGGGTTTGTGAATCTTACTGATTTTTTTTCAAGAACCAAGTCTTTGTTTATTTGATTCTTTGTAATGTTTCTATATTATTTATTGGAGCTCTAAGTTTGATTACTTCTTGCCATCTCCTCCTACTCAATGTGATTTTTCTTTCTGTTCTAGTAGAGCTTTTGAGCATGCTGCTTAGTTACTAGTGTGAGATCTATTCTTTTTTTTTTTTTTGCGTAGGTACATAGTACTATAAAGTTGCCTTCAATATGTCCTGTAAGTTTGGATGTGTGTATTTATTTTCATTCAATCTTAGAAAGTCCATAATTTCTTTGTAAATTCTGTCATGACCCATTTTTCCATTAAGTAGAGAGTTGTTCATTTTTCCATAAATTTCTGCAGTTTCTGTTGTTGATGATATCTGGATTTAGTCCATAGCAGATAGATAGAATTTAGGGTGTTTTTTCCAATTTCTTTGTATTTTCTTAGATTGCTTTGTGTACCAGTATACAGTCAGTTTTGGAGAAACTTCCATGAGCTGCTGAGGATGTCAAGGGACACAATCCATACCCTCTGCCTTACACGGGTCGAGTTCTCTTTGGCAAAATTGTACCTAATGGTCCCCATTGTCTCTTGCATCTTGTGAAGGGGAAATGGCTCCTCTGTCTGTCAC